ACCATTTTATAGGTTCATCGATAATAATGAATGTTTCCTTTCTTACTGTCCATGTCATTATTGGACATTGATATTGTTTGTCTGATATCAATGATGTTATTTTTTTTTTTTTTTTTTGTTTTTTTTTTCATCATTTTGTACATTTTTCCATCTCATTTGTAATTCCCATGGGCTTCCCAATACCAAATCACCCATGTGCCATTGATATCAATGATGTTATTTTAACTGAACTCATAGGTTTTCTTTTTTAATTGAAGAAAAAGTCAGCTTTAGGTGATGTCTGACAGCCAGGGGCGGTTATGGGTTACCTCCCTCTTTGCTGGGTATTGGTGACCCAAAGGTAAGATGATGTTTGCTGTTGGTGCCATCCTGTCTCAATTTTGCTTGATTTGAAATTCCTACTAACTACTGGAGTGTTAGTTTGTCTGAAACACTGGTGAAATTTCTTTTGCAATATAGCTGTTAGTTTATATACTATAGTTTATATATAATAAACTGGTGAGGACAGTGAGGGCGCATTTTGTCACTAGAGGGATCTTGTTAGAGAGGGACAGGATTTTTTGAGTGTTGAGTGTGAGTTTTAGCGTAATTGCTAAATACCACTCGGCCTAGGTATTCCACATTGTACGTCACTCTTGCTATAGTCTACATCTGAGGCAAACTACCTGGTTAATAGAAACTTTATTCTTTCCACACCACTTCCTGCAGAGTCTCCTGGGAGTTTCCTATTCATTGCTTGCCTGTGCCTTGTGGCCAATGGTAGCGTTTGTTGTTCCTGAACATCAGCTGGGAACTGCATATGGCTTGTAAGTGTTTGCACAGAGGATCGTACATTATCCATCTGTGCTATACCAACTTAAATTTTTATCTAAAACCACTTGACTTCTGGATCTTGTCCTCTTCATGTTTCTGAGTTGGTTCTGAAAAAAGTGTGTCCTATACCTGGGAAATAACTAGAAAAGTTATTTAATCTATTTATGATGCTATTATGGTGACAAAAAGTAGGTCAAGCCTCCACAAGAAAACTGAAGTTCAGCAAACCTGTGAGAGGTAATGTTGATACTTGAGGGCTTCTCAGTGAGAATGGAGGTTAAGTTCTGACCCGGAAGGTGAAGAGGGGAGACACACACCTAGCACTGTATTTCTTTGAGCAGGCAGGGATTGAGTTCATACTACATACTACAGGGATTGAGTTCATAAGGCAAGCTCTTTTAACATTGTTTATCTTACCAGAAAGTCTAGTAGCACTAAACAGTCATGAGATAAATAGCAAATCTAATTAGGTCATCCCTGGTTGAAAACATCTTTCTACACTAACAGTATATATGGTTTAGGGTATTAATGTTTACAGTGATTTTTTTTTTTTTGTATTTGAAGAGATTTGAAAGTTAAATGTGTTGTATTTTTTTGTAGCATGCAGTCCATTCAGAATCTTGGGTTGGCAATCATTTCCATCATTGCTGGAATGATATTGGATACCCGGGGTTATCTGTTTTTAGAAGTTTTCTTCATTGCCTGTGTTTCTTGTAAGTATGCATTGTTTAGTTTCTTATAATACACAGTAGAATAGAATGTTCTCATTTACAATTTTGGGATTTTGTTATTAATTCCTCTCTCTTTGAAATTAAATTCCTAAAATGTATCTGTCCGATTTGCCTAATTCTTAGCCTGTGCATAAGCTGGTGAGTTTTCTAGTCCTCTGGAGAGTCAAAGACATTTCTTAAGAATTTGCAGTCCTAAAATTAGGCAGCAGTATAACTGCTTTATATTTTGTTTTAGATAGGTTTGGTTTTTAGAAAGCATTTCCCCTTTCAAAGTGGGACTGTTTGAAGGGTCTTGAATTGTATCTTTTTATGCGATTTGGGTATGAGTCCTCATGATTTACTTATAGGCCAGTTCTAAATTGCTTTTATTCTCACTCTACTATTTAATAGTTACCTGTAAAACGGTGGTTAAAAATAGGAAGCATTATGAGATTATACACAGTACATCACTCGTGTTCATCTGAAAGAAATCCTTAATAACATAGTGGGATGTCTTTTATATTTTAATAATGTGTTTAAAATAACAAACCCCATTGGTGATTTTAGTTTATACTTGAAATGTGGTATTGACAGATAATTGCTTATGAATAATAAAAGTGCATTTTACTACCTCATAATTTTAGAATTGCGCACATCAGATTTTAAAAAATGGGTCATATAATTATTCAAAATATCAGTTCATGAAAGTATTTTTGTCTGTTCTTGATCTGTACCAGTGTAATTAATTCCGGTCTGCAGTTTTGTATATATTTGTTTCTCAAACTAAATAGTGTGCCATTTGAAAATGCTTCTGTTGCTCTATTAATTTAGAATAAATGAAGTGTGCTTCAGTTGTGAAGGTAAAAAGTTGAGCACCTTTCTGAGGTCTCACTGACCTGGGGGATTCTGAGAATCTAATGACCACAACCTAATGTTCAGATAATTTGTGTGGAGGATAGAAAATCCCTTAAAGGTGACTCCTGTTTGACTTTCCCTATAAGGAGGCAGCCCAGGGGCTGGCAGGAGTCTTCGGACAAGCTGGGAAGGACTAGCACTTAATGGAGGAGGCAGAGGCACAGGGTGACTGTGGTTGGGTGGGGGTCTTCTCCTGTGGCGGGGCTCGGCTTCCCTCTGGTGGTCCTGCTGCTCCTGGGCCGTGGAGAAAATGGGTGTAACTTACTTTCAGTGCTTTTGGAAAAGAATGTGAATAGCGTTTTATTTTTAAATTCCAGTCTGAATTTACTTTGTAGATACAATTGCGTAGGGATCATTGAGAAGGAGTATAACTTTTTAAAGACCTTTCTTTTTACTTCTAGTGTCACTTTTATCTGTGGTCTTACTCTACTGGGTGAATCGTGCCCAAGGTAAGTACAGGTGCTGATATTTTCTTCTTAAACTCGGTCCATCATCTTGGGCTGTCTGCAGGCTTCTTTGGAGCCAGTGCTTTTAGTTTATACATTTAATGACCTTGTTCATAGTGTGGAAGCACATTTTGTTATGAAACATAATTGGGCATTCTGCGTCTCCTCATTTTCTGAAGTTTTTGTCATGTTCCTTCTGGCCCATTTAGTTTAAATTTTGCAATATAAAATGTTGGATGTTATTTTTCTATTAGTATAAACCAGTGTGGCATTTAAAAAATAATTGAAAGCCTTTCCTGTGTTATCGTATCATATTAAAAAATTAATTTGTAACTGCAGGTTGTACTTTAAAGTTGAAAGTGTTGGTATATGATGAGAAAATGCAGATTTTTCCCTTTTACTAATAAATACCTACCATGGTTATTTGTATTATCAGTTTTTTAAAATACGGTTTTAATACTACCCTTATTAATTTTTCTAACTGGCTTGTACCTAAAGGTTGTTATATATACTTAAGGGAATGTTATATACATACTGTTTCAATTTTTAGGTCATTTCCCTTTGTTTCTTTTGAAGTCCAGTTACAGTATATTAATACAATATTCCAATTAATAAACAACACTTAAAAAGTACATTAAAAAAACTGCTAACGTTAGGGAGTGATTATTTGTATCTTATAAGGTGTTTCATATTCTTACAAAGTAGTAGAGAACAGTCACTTGAGAAGATTACAGGAGAGAAACTATCTTTCTCATTTTTCGTAGCCTTTCTGTTAGCTTCAAATGAGGTAGTGGATATAAATGTAGTGATATAAATACTGCTCAATGTGCGTATGACTGCATGTTTGAAGTTTATAATAGTTATATTGAAAAGATTTCTATACTTGTCTTTTAGGTGGGAACCTAAATTATTCTGCAAAACAAAGGGAAGAAGTGAAGCTTTCCCATACTGAGTAAGTAGAGAAAGAAAATTGTTTTTCTTTTGAGCAGCATAAGCAAGCATTCCTTTTCAAGTTACTGGGTTTGGGCTTTTACGAAATAGTCTGTTGAGTTTTGAGAGCTAGTGCTTATCACTGGAATTGCTTTAACAAAATTCTTGGTCCAGAAAATTTTAAAAAGTAGATATTAAGGGTCAAAATAAAAAGAATTGGGTTTAAATTGCCACCTCAGAAGAGACTGTATAGTATTTGTGTAATTTATTGGCAGGTAGGGCTCTGTCTCGAGACCTGCGCTGGGCTCATCCTTTCATGTTCTGTTTTCCTTTTCTTAACTAGTGAGAGAACTCTTCATGTTGCCTGGAGTTAACAGGCTATATTCTGTGTTCTCTGACATGTTTAGAACAGATGTGTAGTGTGACTTCTTTGTGTGTGTAGTGTGACTTTTAAGTTAAAACTTTTCCAGGAGTTTGAATCCTCTCACCCTCCGCATCTCTGGCCTGTACTCCAGTTCTGTATGAATGAATAAAAATAATGATTCTATTTCATGTTATTTATACTTTTTTAAGGCTTTGAATTTTTCATGCTTTAAAAAACTTATTGGTAAACATAATATCATGTGACTCTAGTTTTGTTGGATAAAATATGATATTTTGGGGGGGGTTAATTCTTGGCTATTTGGTAAAAGTTCCCTTTTACCATAATTCTAGAAATATATTTTAAGAAAATCAAAAGTTTTTATTTTACTTATTTATGCACATAAGAACTGGGGTTTAGGTCAGAGGTGCAGGGGTGGGGCGGTAAGAGGATTCACCAGAGACAAGTGGGGAGAAGAACAGGCAGATCTACGGAAGCATACTGCTGAGAGGAGCAGGGTCAAGATAGGAGAGGTCTGCTGCACTTTGTAGGTCAGCTCCCTGGCTGGAGCTCAGACTCATGCCTCAGTGGCTGGTGATAGCTTCGTAGCACTGAGACTTCTTAAGCATATTACTTGTATTAAAAATTCTGAAAGAAAAAACAGATAATTACCAATTCCATTTTAATGCTAATGTTTCAAGACTTTTTTCTTTGCTATTCTGTATTTTTCTAGACTTTCTATATTGATTCTGTGTTCCTATTAATAGTCAAGAGAAGTTAAAATATTGTTTAGGAAACTCTTAACTGTTAATATTTGTTTCTACATGTTTTATAAAACTTATGGTTTTTATTTTGTAAACCAGATGGGATTTAGTATTTTTCTTCCTCTTTTTGATAATTTATTGCATTATGTTTTGCAGATGAGAAGTTTACATGACTGTCATGCACATGGACTGTCCACATCACTGGTTTTGTAACCGCTTTTTAAAGGTTTAGAATGTAGTCATTAGGGGAAATAATGGTCTGGAATGTTATTTGTATTTCAGTTATACCTACTTCAAGGTATATTTGTGAGGACTATTTTAGTCTGTGTCTTTGTATTGTGGGTTACTGAAGAATTCTGCTTTGGAACAGACAAATCAGCAGTGACAAGTTTAGAAGATCTCTCTGGAATGTGCTTCATGATGAACTTCAGGGAGGACAGTAAACTGTGGAGAACATTGGGTGTTGTATGAGATAGTTTTCACAAAGTAGATCGTAGTTACATGGTCTTTTCTTTCTCTTAAGCAAAGAGAAAGATTTGAAAGTGATAGAAGAGATGTTTTCTAGAGAATCAGTGGTGACATTAATAGGCATTCTTGTTTGTAGTAGGAAACTTTTGAAAGATATTTTTATGAAGTGTCTTCATTTTCCCAGCCAGCAGGTGGCACCGGCTCTGAGTAACGTAGTGGGTGAGGCCCTGACCACTGACCTGCTTGTCTCTGTCCCTGGGCTCCCTGACTGCTTAGGGACATTTTTTTGTTGTATAAACTTTCTGAACAGTTTTTTTCTTACGTATAATTAACAACTAAAAAGTATTCTTTAAATAATGATAATTATGTCTCTAAATGTGTAAATAAAAATACGATATGAGGAATATTTGATGACTTAACTTTTGTTTTTTAAAAAGATGTAAAAACACTGATTTTGATTTTTATGCATGTGGAAGATTCTCTCTTTAGGAAAATCTAAGTTGGAATATGGAAAATTTGATTAGTCACTGAAAGATTATGGAAGTGACCTTTTCTCCAGAATAGGGCCTTAAATAACATTTAGGTTTTTTATATTTGTTATATTTTCGTTAAATAGGATTTCTCTATTTTTTTTTTTTAAATGAGCAATTTTGAAATTGACTCTTGGTATAGTATGTATTAAAATTTGTTTACATATCTATGGACCCACAGATATTTTTGAATGTACTTAGCTGATTGTATTGTTTAAAGTACTTGTAGCACATTGTAGGCTTAAAAGTTGTGTAGATGATTTAAAGTGTATATCTTGTTTAGGGCTACTTATTTACAGCCACTGTCCTGACTTACGGTTCATCATATCAGCGTTCAGTTCTTTGATTTTGATTGCCTGGTGACTGTTGTAGTGCCTGGCGGGGGCCTGTGGCCTCATGGGTCCTGCCTTGCTCTCTGCACCACCTCCCCCCCACTAGTGAGCTGCTCACACTTTCTCAGATGGGTCATGTTCCTTCCCTTTGTGGGTCTTGCTCCTTGCTGTTCCCTTTGTCCCTGGGCCTAACTTACAACAGAAAAACCAGAGACCCAGCTCAGCCCCGTTCTTTCTATGAAAAAACACTTCTAGACCCTTCCGACTGTAAATTCTAAAATTCTTGTTATCTTTGAAAAGCCTTTTTCTTTCTCTTTTTAACTTACCTCAATTATAATGAAGAATTTTGTGATGACCCTGGTGTCCATGATGTGTGTCTTCCTTTAGAATGTAAGCTCCTTGAGGGCAGTAATTGTCTTTGTTATGTTGATAGTGGTGGTAGACATAGTGCCTCAGAGGGGGCACAAAATAAATACTTTTTGAATGACATAGAGTAAAGTAGGATAACCTTTTTGGAGGGCAAACTGACAAAATGGGTGAAAATTCCTAAAAGTGATGATGGAGTGCTTGCCGGCTGGCTTAATATTCCCATTTAGTAGTTTATTCCACGGATCAGACAGACAGACACATGCATATAAATATAGTTTAAGAACATCCCTTTATTGCAGATTTGTTTAGAATAACCAAATAGGAAGCCACACATGTGGCTAAGAGCAGACTTGTTTGTTTGGGGGCAGGCACCCATGGGACCTTTGGGGGGATTCAGTGAGATTGCCATAGGAGGAGTGAGGGAATGAGAAGAGCTCAAAGGCAGAGTGAATTCTGGGATGGACCCACCCCCAGCATGAGACTTGGGGGAAGAATGAAGAGAAGCAGGAGGGGGCTTCAATGAGAGCTAAGGGAGTGGGTGACCTGAGAGAGGTTGGGTGGCTAGCAGGAAGGGTCTGACAGTGCCTGATGGGCAATTGGGAGTCTTAAGTGCATTGCTTAAAAGTATTTCAGTGGAAATGGTGGGGGATGGGCAGCACCTGGCTTGTGCTAATTTGGAGTATGGATTCAAGATAGAAATTACTACAAAAAGCCTAGTCTGTCCTCACAAGAAACTTAGGCTATAAAAGAAGAGAGAATAGAATCTTCTGTGACCGTTTCTCTGATTGGTTTAGTGCTATATAAAGGTCTCTTCATTTGTGTTTTTCTACTGCTGGACTGGAACATTCTTAGACTTAAGTTATTTAATTTTCTTGAAGTGGCACCCTTTGCTTTTTATTCATGAATTGCCTTGCTGCAAATTGCTGCTTCCTATCATGGAGTTCTTGGCACCATTATCTTTGACGCTAAAGTCTGATACATTTTCAAAAACTCTCAGTAAAACAAAAAGTCGAGAAATCTAAGTACTAAGGAAATGTTGGCTTGTTTACGAGGAAGTAAAAGATAATGAGAATATATAACTATAACTTTCATTTATGCTTAATTGCCAACAACTTTGAAACATTTCCTCACTATTGTCTCTAAATCTGAGCTGAAAAGTGAGAATGCTTGCAGGTATTGTGTTCTGGAATTGGAAGGGGCTCTTGAGAGGGCACATAAATCCCCAACCACTTGCGATTTAGTTTTATGGATAAATTGGATTTAGGTAGTAATCCCAGGAAAGCATACTCAGGAGAATCATTTTCTGTATGTTCATTTATTCCACAGAGACTGAATGAGTGTTGCTGTGTTCAAGCCTCTGCTAGATCCCATAGGAGTGTAGATAAGAGGATTTGAAAAAAGCCTCCTGGGCTTAAAAGGAGAGGGGTATGCCCTAAGAGGTGTGGGTGACAGCAGAGAAGAGAAGGCCTCTAGATTGGTGGTCAGGGAGACTTCTTGAGAGAGGTGGCCCGGGGGCTGTTTGCTGAGAACCGCTGTCATTCTCTCTGACCCACTGTTTCATAGGGCACCCCTCCATGCCTCTTTCTCTCCTTTGGTTTTCCTAGGCTCTGCTTTTAAGCTCTACCCCAGGCGCTGTTTCCAGTCAGGAATTTTTTATGACTCTCTTCTCTCTTTCCATTTCTTCCTCAGAGAGATTTATGTCTGTGTCTGCAAATATTTGTTAAGACATTGGACAGTAGTGCTAAACCCAGAGCTCGAGCCTAAACTGTCTCTGAACCACCATCCTTCATTTCCAACTTGAGGAGTCACTATTCCAGCACATTTAACTCTTCCCCACAAGACAGCTTGTTCCCTTCTTCCCTCCCACTTCCTCCCTCTCTCCTTCCTCCCTTTCCTGCTTCCCTCTCAGCTTCCTCCCTCTCCATACTTTCCTTCCTTTCTCCTTCCACCTCTCTCTCCCTTTCTCCTTCCCCAATGACTATTCAGTGCTACTCTGTGCTGGGTGCTAGTTTATCATCCAATGGGTTCCTCAGGCTTGGAGTCTCAGCGTTATTTTTTGTTATCTCTCCGCTCATGTCTAATCATCTTATCATCATTACCAGTGTTTTAAAATCATTAGTTCTGCTCTACATTACTGATGTTCTTAGGTTGCTGTGGTAGTCTGAATGTAACCACTGTCCTTCTCTACCTCTTTATTATCAGCTTCTCTCTTGCTTACCGAGTGCCTATTTGGAGAATGTTGCTAGGAGTCCGCATTCTATAAATTGGGAAATGGAGCAGTGGCAAGATTAAATAGACTTGAGGTGTACGGAGTGAGTCCTGGAGAATGAGTGCGGAAGGCCGCAGTTAGAGCTGGAGTTGGGAGGACTGTGGAGAGGATGCTCACATTCTACGAGTCAGTATCTGTTACCCCAATAGGACGAACTGTCGGTTATAGACCTGAGGAAGAGGCTAGCTTGCACCCTAAGCAGGAAGTGCTCTCCCGCCCAGCAGGTAACCCAGCCACTGACCCAGCTTCCGGAATCCACCAGCTCTGCAGCATCTTTTACTTTTCCCCCAGTGAACCTTCCTGCCGCATCTTGCTCACAGCAAATTGTCCCTGCCCTTTCTGTAAAAGCTCCATCCTGTGTAAGGACCGCTTGGAACTGCTCTCTGCTGGATGTTTACTCAGTAACATTCAGTTTTTTGCAGCCCAGCAAGTGTGTCAGTGATGCAGTGTGTTGGGAGGCTGCGAGTGGGAGACCCTGAGGTCTGGGGAAGAAGGCGTAGGTGTTTGGGGGCAGGTTGGGCTAGGATGTGAGTGCAAACAGGCTCCTTGGTCAGCAGTGAGGGTGGTATGGCCACAGCTGGCAAGTTAACTAGGCAGACGAGTTATGCCAGCATGAGTGGAATGGGCTGTGTCTGGTAGATGCGAAACTATGAGGGGGGCGGGGGAAGGGGGAGCACAGGTAGAACTGGGGGTGGGTGTGAAAAATGCCCGTAAGGGAAGCCTGGAGGTATGTAGGTTGGCTGCGAAGGGAGGGGTGATCAATTAGGAGTTTGAATTCTGACCTTTAATTCATCCATATGGGGAGCCAGCAGGTTACACACTGAGTCCCCACTCTGGTCACACGGCTCTCCTGCTGGTGGCTCCTTGTGTCTTGTAATGTTTCTTTGGTTAGTGTTGGCGCAGCCCCCCTCATCAGTCTGGAGCCCCCCTTCTAGCCCTGCCTGCACCCCCCGTCAGGAGCCAACTGCTGGCTCTCACAAATTCCTCGTTTTCGCCACACACTTGGGAAATTCTCCATTAATGAAAATTTCACTCAACCTTGAGCACACTCACATTGTCTTTCATCACCCTCTAGACCCCAGCCCTGAAACAGCCCCAATACTTGCTGCTTATATTTTTCATTTTTGACTAATTGGCAGTTGACATGAAATTGCTAACTTAGGCTTATGTGTGTTTTGTTTCTCCAGCCTTCTGTAGCCTCCTTAGGGCTGACACTGTGCCTCGCCCTTATGTAGGCACCACAGTTAGTTACATTTACAGCCAGTGCTGCCCCTGTTGTATTCTGAACTTAATATTTGCTGACCTTTGCTTTTGTTTTAACCTTTCCAAACAGCCAGATAGCTAATGTGTGGGCCCCGCTGTCTCTTTGAGGCTCCTTGTCTCCTTCTTAAGGTGGGTTTTCAGCGATGACAGGGCATTAGGGAATACCCTCAGACTCCGGGCAGGCAGTGGGATCCTCACAGTGCAGCCCTTTATAGGGAACAGCCTAGTTCTATTTTTGCATCTTGACATAACTGTACCTGAAGGCTAGGATGCAGCATTCACTGATCTAAAATTTTTGGATTCCAGCTATTCAGAAATAAGTTAAAAATGGATGCTTATACTCTGCTGTTAAGTAGGTCAAAAATCTCTGAAGAAACACAGTTAGTCTTATATAGATCAGAGAAGTAATTGCGAGCACATGGGTTAATAATGATTAAAGACAGGGAAAATCTTGGCCAGAGGTTTAAAGTTACAGATTTGTTTTCCTGCTGCCTCCAGGGCTGACAGGCTGGTGGGCATTAGAGATGTGGACTGAGGGGACTATGGGATGGCTTTAAGCTTTCTTGAGGAGTGCACCCATTCTTCAGTTCTGTTAAAACTTTAGTTATGTGTAAGGGATGGTGTGGAACTGTAACAGGTACAGGTTTCATGGACTCCACCCCCACTCCAGATGCTGGAACTCCAAATCCCATCAGTACCAAGGAGAAGCACGCCGGGACGTGAGGGAGGAGCTGAGCAGCCAGGTTGGGATAAAACCGGACATGTGGGCTCTGGGGGAACTTGACCTGGTGGTTCGCAGCTGATCGTTTTGGCGCTCAATCGGTTTTCAGCGTGCCGGTGGAGTCCAAGTGAGCAGAACTGGTAGGACATCCTAGTTAACTTGTATTTCTCTCCTTCTTTCCCTGGGTTATTCCTTTACCTTTCTCCTTATAAATAAATCCATTATTTAACCTTTTGAGTGTGTCCATAATACGATTGAATTGTAAGCGCACCGGTGAAGACCCACAGACAGGCATTCCAGTTCACA